ATTTATGATATTTCAGCAAAAAATAATGATATTTTAACAAAAAATAAAGATATTTTAGCATAAAATAATGCTATTTCATAAACAAATTATTATTATTCAATATAAAAAAAGAAAAAAAAATTTCAACAAGAATAAACAAAAAAAAACGAAAAAAAAATGTGAAATAAGATTTCAGCAATATATAATCAATATTTTAGCAAGAAAAAATGAAGAAGAAGAGGTTGGAAGTGGTAGGAAGAGGCAAAACAAGTGCTGCGCCAAGAAGAACACGCGCAGAGGTTTTTTTAATCCGAAAACTTCTGAAAAACAAACAGCTGCGAGATGAAAAGTGCTGCGCGTGTGCTGCGCCGCGCAGCAATAAGAGGTCTGGAGAGTTTTTTTTTCAAAAAAACAAACAACACCTTAGGTGCTGTTTGTTTTTTCGAAGCGAAAATGTCTTAAGTCTGCGGACCACCTCTGCAATCCTCTGTAGCAGAAGAGGTGGAACAAAAGGCTGCAGCATTTAATAAAAAGTCTATTTGTTTTTTAACGTCTGCAGACTGCTGCAGTAAGTTAAAGTAAGGCGCGAAGAGGTTTGAAACAGTTGGTTTAGTGCTGCGCCACGCAGCACACGCGCAACAGTTTTTAAGTTAAAAGTCTTCAGGAAAACAAACAACTACGAAAGGCCAAGTGCTGCGCATGTGCTGCGCGGCGTAGCAATAAATGGTCTGAAGTGATTTTTTAAAAAAAACAAACAGCACCTTAGTCTTGCTCCATATCTTTATAGGACAAGTTATAAGTGAAGCAACATACTTTCGATCAGTATTTAACAAGTTTCAGAATTCATATTGACTTTCAATCAATTTTTATTATTTAAAATGTAATTTTTTTAGAATCCATATTGTAAGTTTATATAACACAGCCAATTAAACAAAACTTTGTGTTCTCTTCTTTCCAGCACACTAGCTTGGCTATAACCCCTCAATTAGATTTAAGAAAAAAATATATACTTGCAACATAATTTTTTAGACAGTGGCGGACCTTAGTGGAGCCCGAGGGGTCCCGGGCCACTGTTCCGATTCCGGCACGTAGTGTTAAAAAAATTATGTTTTTTTTTTGGTTTTTTCTATTAGGTGCACCGGGTTAAAATACGAGTGCCACTACTAATTTAGATTTTTTCGGAAATTTTTTTAGTGTCACCCTTACTAAAACGTTCTGCGTTCGCCACTGTTTTTAGATGTGTTGAAAATATTTTTATTAAGATAGAAAACAATAAAGAATATCTTTAATATAATTATCGTTCTTTTAATTAGTTCGAGGCGTCGACTGGTCTGGTAGAGCGCGTATTTTCCTATAGTTGACTCCCATGTACAAAGTAAACGTTAACTCATCCACAAATGTCAACATGATTGATTGACTAAAATTTAACGACCCATAACCAATCGAATATCAACATGTGTAATTACCTTAAAAAGAAACGTCCAAATAAGGAACAATCCCACTTGTCATTCGACAACGAATAGCACATATACAAACGAGAGTAAGCAAATTTAAGGTTTTCCTCTAACCAACTTGTTCAAAATAAATTGAAGAATATTAGTTGTCATTTAACAGCGAATACCACACACAAAAACGATGATAAGCAAATTTTAGGTACTCCAAAAGTCTCCCCTCTTAAAGTCAACTTATGAAATCGACTATATAAACCTCACAAATATAATCAAAGCTTCAAAATCTCATAACCATGGCTGAACATTTCATTTTGTTGTCGGTTTTGCTGTCCCTACTTGCATCTTCGGTTTTGGGTCAGGGTAAGTATCACGGAGTCTTTTTTGGGTGATAAATAAACAAAAACACACACACACGTACCACTTAAGGTTTAAAAATCTTGTTTCAAGCTTACCTTTTAACGTTAAAATATGTTTTTTTCTGAATGTGATTTTAGTGTTTTGGAGCGTAAATTGTGGGGAATCGGAGATCTACACCGATGGTAACCTAATGGTTTGGACGCCCGATGAAACTTTAGTTTCTAATGGGTTTGCTCGAGTAGTTCAGTCAAGTAACTCGATATCTACCGTGTTAGACTCTCTTAGAGTTTTCACTACCCGAAAAAAGAACTGCTATTCTACCCTGGTTACAAAAGGCGAAAAAGTGTTAGTTCGAGCAAGTTTCAATTATGGAAACTATGACCGATTGTCAAGTCCTCCAACATTTGATCTCCACTTTGATGGCAACTTTTGGACAACTGTCGAGACTACGAATAGCGGGCTACAAATGTACGAAGCCACTTATGTTACAAAAGGAGACACCGTTAGCGTGTGTGTGGCTCAAACAAAGTCCGGTCAATTCCCTTTTATGTCCGCACTCGAAGTCCGTAGTGTTGACTCTGATGTTTATAGTGTACTCGATGAGAATCGGGCTTTGTTCTTGATCAACAGGGTTTCTTATGGTGCAGCTAGAACCTTAAGGTACGTTTTTCAAGAACTTGTAATTATCTTCTCAAAATAAAGAAAAGGTATATGCCACCGCCTCATCCAAAAAAAAAAAAAGTTCCACAAACAACGTGGAGGAAGTAATTCTACTTTACTTTGATATTGACATGTAACAACATTGACATTTCAGATTTCCGCAAGATCCTTATGACCGAATATGGATACCCGCCCTTGGGGGAACCAAGGCGGTTACCAACGATGCAATTTTCGTTGACCCGACCGGAACCAATAATCCCCCATCGGGGATTTTTGATAACGCGATTGTAGCAGACAGTACAGCCGAGAGTTTGCTTTTGGCAACAGTTTCCCCATCGAATACTCTCGTCTATATAACAACATACTTCTCTGAAGTAAACAACCTGGACATTACTGGTGAATCGAGGTCATTTAGGTTTTACGAGACGACAACTTCATCAAGTAGTTCAATATCAGATCCAATTTCACCACCTTATGGGAGTATGTTCGAACGCCACCTTTATAATTACTCGGTCGATTCCATCACCAACATATCTTTAATAGCTACCACTACTTCTGATCTCCCTCCTCTCATAAACGCCATTGAGGGATTCAATATTAGTGGACTTTTAACTGATGGGACTGATAGCAACGATGGTGAGTAGAATTTTTATTGTTTTCTTTTTCTATATCTATATATTGAATGTTGTTTGATTTGATTTTTGACTTGTTATAAATGAAAAACATAACAGTCGAGGCTTTATATTTGTTACAAAACACATTCGACGTGTTGGGAGAATGGAGCGGTGACCCGTGTCTTCCCGCACCATACTCATGGGACTGGCTCAATTGCAGCAATGAGACACCACCTCGCATTACCTCATTGTAAATGTCTTTTCGCCAGTATCTCTTACAATATGAATTTGTGATGGATTTATTTCCGTCACAAAAAAATCTTGATTGAGTTATAAGAAAAGATTATATTTTACAGGTTTCTTGATGGCTTCGAGCTTTCGGGCGAACTTCCGGACATTAGTTCCATGGATGCGCTCCAGACAATGTAAGTCTAACAATCGGATTTTGCTAGTTTTTTAATCAAACCATTTGAAAATTCGACCTGATGTAACCTGTTAGATTATTGATAATGCTTTAGAAAATTCCATTTAAAAAACCGATATCTCAATTCTCAATTAAATAATAGAATCGGAAAATCTATAATTAAAATGCAGAATTTATCGTTTACTTTTATTTGTGTTTTTTGGTTTGTAGTGACTTGCACAATAATAGCTTGGATGGAGAAATTCCAAGTTTCTTTGGTACCATGACTAATCTCCAACAACTGTAAGTATATTTTGTCAATATATTAATTATCGGTTAGAATTGATCTCCAATAATAGAATCGAACTCATGATTTCTAAATTCAAAAGCCAACATAAGATTTCGTGAGAAAAAATGGTGCATGTCAAGAAAATTATCTCATTATGATTTTAATTCTTCTTTATAGGAATTTGGCAGATAATGACTTTAGTGGACCCATACCCACTTCGTTATCAAAGAACAACAAACTGAAATTAACGTAAGTTGGATAATTCTCTTTGTTATTTGATATTTTCTTCGTATTACTTACACTGTAAATAATTTTTAATTTTCCATTTTCTTTTTCGGATTATGAACAGTGTCACTGGAAACCCTTCTGTGTGTACATCCGGTAAGTCATGTTCGACTTCTCCGGGGACTGTGAATTCATCTCCGGGGAGCACCACCTTAACTCGCAGAAAGAAAAAGAAAAGCAGCATGTTACCAGTAGTACTCGGCATTACCATCCCGATATTCTTTCTCATTTGGGTAGCTGTGGGTGTGTTCGTCATTTTGCGAAAGAAAAAGAAACCAGTATTCAAGGCCATTAATATTATGCCAGTTGCTTCAGGTTAGATCTCTTTTCTAAATCGCAATCTGACATGCAAAGCGATGCTTTTGGGGAATTTTGTGACGATTTGTGCTATTGATTTTAATTGTTAATTATGATAATTCGTTTTAGGGTATACAGCCGGCGGAGCAAATGGGAATCCAAGTGGCGGAGCAAATGGGAATTCCGATGAGTTGCATAAAAACAGTGAAGAAGTGATGAATGATGGGACACTGGAACATGGGGTGCAAACACCTATGGGATCGCCTTCACCGTTACTTGATAATTCTGGTCAAACTAGCGATATGTATGGACACACAGGAGTACATAACCACGATGAATCGTAGATCTTAATGTCTTTTTATTTCTATAATGTGGAAATAGCATTATTCTGCTTGTTTTGGTGGTGTGTAAATAGGGCATATATGTGTGTTGTGGGATTATGAGGTCGTTTGTGTTTGAGCAATTGTTTCAATGGTTATATGAGAAAGAGGAACCATTCATTCTTTTAACGTTCATGACTTGTCTTGCATAACTTGATACGAGCGGCAAATTCTATTATAAGCAACTATCAAGACACTAGAGCAATGAACAAATTACAGAAAAAAGAAAATGCCTCTAATTGATAAAATTAAGTGATAAACTTCAAATTAAGTGATAAACTTCTAAAAACTGATTTAAACTTTATCTTTTATTTGTATAGAAGTGTTCGACAAAAGATTTTGAAAGGTATTTCGTGAGTTGCATATAACTAGCCACAACACCGAAAAGATTAACACCTTGAGCAGCTTTTGCTTCACCAAAAGAAGCAACCTAAAATCCCCGTTGAAATCATGGAAGCCAACCGGAATCATCCGACACCAAGGTGAAGCAAAAATTAGTACACTCGCCGGTAATGTCACAAAACTTAAAATATTTGATTAGGAACACCATCCGGTCTAAAAGATAATAATTAAAATGTGAAAGGTTAGCACACCCTTAAAATAATGAATGAAATGTTAGTACACCTCCGGTCTAAAAGATAATAATTAAAATGTTAATTATCTTATACATCAACATAAAATATGATATTAAATTTTACTTTCATTAAATATAATTTAATGTTTTGGAGCCAAAGCTATAAGGCATCATACTTCTATATTTATAGTAACCCAATCTCTTGGACGATAGACACTAATATAGTCTCAAATGAGGTTGTTCCGAGTGATTTAGGGGCTGTTTGTTTTACTTTCTAACTGGGTCCAACAGGGACCGGGTAAAAAAAAAAAATGAATTCAACATGTTTGATAATGTACCAACACTCAAGGACTCGGTCAATTGTGTGGACTCGGTCCAAGCTTTCAAGCTGATTCGGTCCCCTCCTTTCAATTGCTGGACCGGGACAACAAATAAGCAATAGGTTGGATTTTCAATTTTTCCCTATCATTTTATGAATGCCTCCACAAGAAAGAAAACTATCGGCGATTCCATAGAGAAAGAAAGCAATTGGCGGCATGCTGTTACTGTTCGAGTAGGGCTGTCAAATCGGGCAGTCGTGTCGTGTTTTTGTCTGACACGACACGACACGACAATGTTTTGTATAACACGAACATGACACGACACGATGTCGTGTTTTTTTTCATTAACACGAAAACGAACCAATTAAAACACGACAACACGACACGACACGACAAAAATAATATTACATAACTATTAGTGTATTTCGTTCATACTTAAATATATATAACACGACAAAAACGACAAACACCAAAAATTTCAACAACCACATGCTTAATCGTGTCAATTTCGTGTCAATTTATGAACACGAACACGACACGACATCGTGCTTTTTAATCTTGACACGAAAACGACACGAAAACAATGGTTTTCGTCGACAATCCATTATAAACATCACAAAATCATCCCAAACAATTTCCTTCACAAACGTCATGAAAACTTGTCCAGTGCAATATTATCGGGAAGTACCAAAGTAAATTTTTGGGTAGGTTGTCACATATTCTTTTGAAAATCTGTCACAAAAAATCATACAAAGATTCATTCCGACGGGAATTTTTTCTTTTTCGAATGTAAAAGTGAAAAGTCTTATATTGATTTATTTTAAATAACTTAATATTTATTTATCTCAACATTAAAATAAGCGCTTAAATGATTTCAACACAATGATGAATAATATTAAATTAAAAGCTAGCAAGAAACTACATCGAAAAACACAATGATGAATAAAAAAGAACAAACGCTTAAAAGATTTTATCACCACTAATGCAAATCGATAGCAAACTTCTTAGGTGTCACACCCCAAAACCGGAACGACGGAATCGTTCGGGGGTGAAGGACGTCATGTTTAGTATCACAAGATATGTGTACAGTAAGCAAGTAAAGAACAACCATTTCATTTAGAAAGAAAGTGTTTACAATGTGTGTGTTCACAAAACATAGAATTCATAATCAAA